AATCCCCCCTGCTCAGCTCCCTTAACTATTTCAAAACTCCATAAAACATTCAAGGTTTAAACGAAAACAAGACCTCAAAATGGATTCAATTATTTCACTCTGCTAAATCTTAATTTTGACATTTACGATTCAACTCTAAAAATTTCATCAACATTTTCAGCTCAAAGATGGAATTTAGAATGATAAATGAAAGAACATATGCTATTTAATATAATCTTACAAGAAAATGGTAACAAATTTCACAAAATACAAATTTTCCAAGCAAAATATTTGAACCTTTTATTCTTCTTCTCTTTCCTTATTTTCCTCCTTTTCTCCTCTCTCTCTCTTTTTATCAGTTTTTTCCTTGCTCTTATACGCAGGTCTGGAGGCTTCGCGCCGGGGGTGGGGTTGGGGTTGGTTTTTTATATCCCCTTTTCTTTTATTTCTTACTTTTATGTTAATTACCTCGATGTCCTCCAACTTTTAAATTTTCTTCCCATTTAATCTCTAAAAATTCTATAAAATTCCCTCCTTATCCTCCCTTTTTAGAAACAATTTAAAAGAAATTTAGGACAATTTTTTTCAACAATTTAATTATCTTTCATTATTATTATTATTTTTTCTTATACTTTCATTAAAATCTTTTGGAATTGTCTAGAGTTTTATTTCTCATGTTTAAATTTGTGAACAAATATTTGATCTAAATGATTTAATTCAATTTATTGAGCACTCCTATTTCAAAATATATTATTCTCGTGCACGGTTAGGTCCCAAAATGTAATATATAAATAACTAAAAAATAAACATCTAGTGTACGGTGAAAGCGTGGTCTCCGCATAGTGTGATTGCCATTGTCAAAATGGCTGTGTCTGGCAGCTAGTAGCCTATTTGCTAAGCAGTATATTAATTATTAGTGGCAAATTTATATAAATATTAATATTTTTTATTTTTTAAAAATCATTTATTAAAATAAATTAAAAATTGTTCAAATCGAGAAATTGAGTTATGAGGGTGAATAGTTTTTAACCTATTTAAAAATAATTCTAAAAAGATATATTTTAGAAAATAAAAAATATTAATATTTACATAAATTATACTATTTCTCACCCTTTAGAAATATTTTTAAAAATTAGAAATTATAACTTGAAAATTAAAAGTAGTTAACAGTAGTTCATAAACAAAAATTAAGTATATTTGTATAACATATTATAAAATTCTCGAAAATGAAAAAATAGAAATTTGAAATGTAATTTTATAATAAAGAAATATTTAAAAAATTTTATTTGGTAATTTTGGATTTAAGAAAAATTTTTACAAATATTTAAAATAATTTTTATTTAATTACAATAATATCATTAATATTTAAATATACCCCTACCTCATACTTTAAGAATCTATTTCAGATTTTACTTTTCTTTTTAATTGAAATTAGAGGACTAGAAGTTGGAAATATGATTTTAAACATTTTAAAAGAGATTGTTTATATTGAAAAATTCAAAATCACTTTTTGACAAATTATCATAAACACCACCTCCGTGACCAATGAGCTTGATAAAGAAATTTGGGTGTCCTAAATTGAATAAAATTAAACTAGATGAAATATAATACGATAATTCACAAATTTTTAGCCGCTTTTTTCCAAATTAAACATATTTATGTCCAAACTTGCTCACAATTTTGGCCATACAGTCCATGCATTTTTAATTTAAACTTGAGCGAGACTCAAACAAAAAAAATTGATTCTCTAAAATTAAGTTGAAACAAATTATCATATCAAACGAAAAATAGATATTCTTTAAAATCAAGTAAGGTTAGGGTTTTAGTCAATTTAAATCACTTAAAATAAATTATCACATCATTTTAGTACCCAAAAAATTTACATAATTACATTTAAAAGAAATTATTATATTAATAATATAAAGTGTCATGTCAAATTATAAAATAATTTAAAATATTTAAAATGTCTTGTCATTTTTTCTTTTTAATAAATAGGATGATAAAATATTAAATAATCATGTGACTTTACATATATTATATCGTTGCATATAAATTGAAATTTTAATTAAAATGATTCGAGTTAACATTAAACTATATATACCTTACATAAAAATAATTAAAATTTAAAATAATTTACTCTTAAAATAACCGAATCCATCTAACTTGTTTGCGATCTCCTTATTTTAAACGCGAGTTACCGAGACATTTCTCGGACTTGGAACCCCAACCAAGGGGGTACGATGATAAAAGCCCTCATAAAGAGTATCCTATCTGCCATGGGCTGCCCTACCCTTGACCTCGTGTTAGGACATGACATTTATCTTTTCAATCGGTAAAGGTACCTATAGAGTGAAATGTTTGTCCCAAAAAAAAAAAAATGTTCATATTTGCCTTTTGGACAAGCTTTTCTTAAAAGTGTTTTTGTAGAAAGGATTTTAAAAAAAATAAATTTTAAAAATCACTTTTAAAAAATACTTCTTAACTATTTGGATGTGAAAAATAAATATGCTTATCATTTTTTTGGTAAAATAATAATAAGAGACTATTTTTTTTTCCAATTTGCTTTTCTTGTTTGCCTATAAGAGTTTTGTAGGAGAAAAGAAAAAAATAGAAAGATATATAATAAACAGTCTCGAAAAATAGAATCAATTAGTGATGATGGCGATTGGTGAGGAGAATCGAAGTTGAGAACAATGGCTAGCAAGCAAGACTGATTGTTGGTTAGCAATCATACAAAAGGATTTTAACCACAAATAAGGATGTTAATCGTTGCAAGTAAGATCAATCGTTGGTTGGCAATCATAGGCAAGAGGACTTCAATCGTCAATCACAAGTGGTTAGGATCAACTTCTGGTTATTCGTTCTAGCCGCTTTCTCTCTCTCATATAGTCGCTTGTCGTGGTCTAGGGCTTTTTGAATCAAGGTCGATTGCCTCCAAATGGTGTAAGAGAGACTTGTTGGCCAGGCTTTCCAAACTAGGGTTTGTCATGCTCAAACGATCATGGTTTTCACTAGACAATGGTAGTGGTAGCAGACAATTAAAGACTAGATGGTCATTGGAAGGAGAAGATGACTACTGACTGTTGGTAGGAGGAAATGACAAGGGCCGGTGGCTATCATTTTGAAATTTAGACAGAGACATTTTTGTTCAAAAGAAAAATTTTCCTCTTTTGAATGCATTCTCTCCTCTATAAAAATCATTTTTAGAAGCTGGTAAAACCAATTTATGAAAACAATCACAAAACTACCATTTTTCAAATTTTGCTTTTTCCAAAAGGTATAAACAAACAAACTAAATTCAATAGAAGCACTTTTTTTATACCAAAATAAGTGCTTTTTTCAAAAAGCTCATCCAAATTTTACTATTTACTTAATTAGAAATCCTAATAGTCCAAGTAATTGTTGAATTGGAAGTTTGCATACACAACATAACATCTATTTGTTTAATTTCATAAGAAAACTAACTGATAAATTAGAACTTATTTTAACATGGGCACTAGGGGTGTCAACTCCTATTGGTGAGACAATTTTATATAAGATTTAGAGAGATATTACAATATTTCATTCGATGCTAAATTTATTCATTTAATAATCATGTCAAGTTTTCTTAATTTTAACCCTCATCTTTTATGATAGAATTGATTTGACCAAATTTATAATATAAACTAAATTTATAGTTATAATTAATTTCATCCATCGAATTTTAATTAAATTCATAATATAAAATTTGATGTAAATATTGTATACATTCATTAGTTTTAATTGATCCTATCTTATATATATATATATATATATATATATCAAGTACTAATATATTAAGAGTAATAGTTTCTAGTGAAAGAATTGCCTGATTCATGGGACAAACTTTTTATTTATTTAACTTAATGCATTTTTTACTTTTAGTTGAAACGGTCTATACTTCATTACAAACCCTTACCCATACTCCTTTTGTATTTATATTGTTGCCTCATAAGACACTGTAGGTCACAATGTATAAATACGGCCAAACAGTAGCCATGTGGTTTCATTTGTTAACTATCTTCAAAATGGCTGTACTTTCTATTCCTGTACTCTATTGGTTCCATTTGTTAATTACTTTCCCATATGATGATCGCCCACCTCACTTAATGTAAGAAGAAGGTGCCTCACTCCATGAGAGAAGAATGAAAGAAACACAATCAAAATGAAACGTGACAATATCACCAAATAAGAATGTTGTCTCTCTTGTCAGCATAATTTACTCCAGGAATTAAATGAAATGAATATTTATGTGCCATCTACAAACGCAATTATTATATGATCTTTCTATATCTATGGTCAATATTCTCTAGGGGAAAAAAGAAAAACAGAAATGCAAAATCTCAAGGTATCTAAATGTTCCTTTATTGTGAATCATGTGGAATAAAAATGCATTTTTATTGAAATTGGAATCAAAACTAGTATTGGAAAAATGATATAAAATCCATGACATGTAATAAAATTTTTAATAAGTATCAGTTTTTTCTTAGAAAACAAAATTACGCAGTAAATTTCACAAATACATTTAAAAAAAAAAAAAGACATATTAAGGTCCAGCCACTAGTATATATTTATAGCCTAAGCATCTCATGTAGTGCTGGCTGAAGCTAAAACTAAATAACCAGCAAGATCGCTAATGGGGATTGGAATACATAGAAATCCAGCAGTTCTAGAGTCCTAGGTTTGCAAAGATGTGCAGCAACTATATTCTCCTACGATCTAACGTGCAATGGTAGGAGGATATAGACAGAAGGATATAGACAGAAATTTACAGCCGACGGAGAAGAGAAAGACATTCCACATCAAAATATGCCTAGTAAAATGTAAGCCACTAATGTTGAATCTTCAAAATGAACATAATCCAGTCCGTAAATGAAATATTCCATGTAACATAAACGGAAACTGATGTGAACAAGAATTAGACAGAAATTGAAAAATGATGCATATGTTACAAATAGATTACTTTGTTCAGCCATTTAGAGGCATCTAAAAATTGACTATTTCTAGGCTTTCTGAATTACCCTTAGCTTTGCACTCCTACTCCGGCGATTCAATCTCTCTTCCTCTAGAGATGGTGTTATGGGTCTCTTTGTGAGGATTGTTCCATTTAATCCATGTATCGTCCTCTTAATCCATGTTTCTTTATCACCATCATCATTGTTAGTTTTTATCAAAGATGCTGTGATTTTCTTTTCCTCGTCTTGATTTCCAACTTCACTAATGCCTTGGCTAATGAGGTCCAAAAAGGTCTGTTTCACAATCCGGTCCTCTAAACTATGAAAAGATATCACAGCAAGCCTACCCCCTGGTGCAAGGAATTTGAAACAAGCATATAGGGAGTCTTTTAGTACGTTCAATTCATCATTAACAGCTATCCTCAAAGCTTGAAATACTCGTGTTGCTGTTTTTATCCAGCCTTGCCTCCCTCCTGTTACAATTCAATACAATAGTTAATCAACATTCACTGTAACATGCAAGTCTATGACAGCAGCATCTGGATAGAGAAATATCATCATACTGAAACCCTATTTCACAAACAGAAACAAATAAGATAGTAAATGGCAAACTATGCAGTGCAGCCAGCAAGAAGTATAGAAAATAAGTATATTGGTTGTTTCATATCTATAGCAAAAAGACATAACTAATTAAAAGGAGAAGCCCACCTTTTGTCCAGGAAGTGGCACTCCTAATGAGATCTACTAGCTCACCAGTGGAATGCAACCCACCCTTTTGACGGGCCCTCACAATCTTATTCTGAAGGGAATACCAATTGCTTTCCTCCCCATACTCCCGCAGAATTCGCCCTACTTCAACATCAGGCCAGGAGTTTAGAATGTCTTCTGCTTTAAGACTTGCCTGTCACATCCTGTTCCAATCAGCTAATTGAGAGAAATGCATGGACATTCTGTTGATAGTGAGTTATAAAAAATTAAAATTAAATTAAAAAATTAAAAAACAAAGAAAAGTTTTTTCAGTGCCCTTACAGACAAGGAAAAACTATAAAGTTGAACATATTGTGAAGCAAGATACTATTGATGATAAAATTCCAAATGAAAAGAAAGCACACACAATACATGCATGCATGCAGAAGCATGCACATAGCAAAGCATGATTGGCTGATGGCACTCAAGTATGAGCCAAAATCAATGGACAAGGGGAAGACTAGTGACTGCCTATCCACCAGTGGATATTGTGATGACTATCATGTGTACAACTAACATATTATTACATGAAAAAACAAACATTTTAACCATCAAAATGGCTTAATTAGGAATGCAGAAACAATCTCAACAGTACAACTTTTTCATACTACTCTAGCTTATGTAGCGCTAAGCATTCTTACGGAATAGTAATACATGAACTAGGGCATGGATGGGAACATAAATACTTTTAGGAACACTAACTCATGAACACAAACGGCTACGTCTATTGTAAGTGCCAAGAAAGGGAGCACAGGCTACCATAAGGCTACTGTAAGACAAGCAATTGCTGGATAAGAAAGGCACAAACAAAAGCCAAAATGGCTGAAATTAGCCCCCAGCTGCAAATGCTAGAAGGAATGTCAGGAAAGCCAGGGGCCACCAAAAAAATGCAAATCCACTAGTCATTGCAGCTCCAATGAATGAGAATAAGACGCCTTTTGGTGGAAATGGAACAAGATCCCATAAGAAATCTAAAGTGAGAGTAGTACCAGGACTAGTGACCTCCTGGGAAGTCCTTGCTTTAGGGCTGAATTTTCATTAGGGACAGCCCAATGGGCCAAAGTGAACCCATGAGATAAGAGTACAGGTATCTTGAGCAATGGCTATCTTACAGATTGTAGGGAGGATTCTGGGATTTGGGCCTTGACCAGGATGTCAAGGACTTGATTGGGGTGATTGTGATATCATGCCCCAGTATAAGGACTTAAGTGTGAGATTAGATAACTACTGAAAAACTTGCACTTAAACATTCTTGAGCAATGATTTGGGCTGAACCAAGGCTTTTAAAACGAGGACCCTAAGTAGGACCATTTTGGGGGTTACAAAAATCGGATCAGCAAGATCCAATCTAGAATTGTAAGATTCTACCAAACATAAAAAATAAATAAATAAACAAATATTCCATAGAATAATACAAGTATTCATAAAAAAATTGAACAAACAATACTTAAGATACTCAATTCAAAATTAATTCACAACCAGCACAATAGCTCAACTGCAATGGTCAATTCCATATTTTGGTGTCATTTCATTAAATTAAAATTGAATTTGCAATACAGCTGGGTTTGACGGACCTGAACAACTTGATACTTCATAGCCACTTGAAACCTTGAAAAAGCCAAAATATACAAGCAAAACAGAACCCAGAGAGAATGTCAGGATCATTTGGACCTTAACTTGGATCATATGCTTAGTTTTTATATATTCCTGTAATGCCTATAATTACAAGAGGGTGGTTGTATTTCTAAGCACAACAGGCCAGCCTACAAAGGTCAATCGTGACTCTTTCAGTCAATATCTCAATGATAAGCTAACATGGAATGAACTACTTAGGTTTTAGATTTCTTTTTTTTTTTTTTTAAAATTAAGTAGGGGTTGTTAAAGTGCCTGGAAACTTAAAAAAGAGAGGTGCAATGATAATTCGAGTAGTTGACAAGGTAAAATGTAAAGTACTCTAAAGAATTTGTTTACCAGTTTTAGGGTCTTTCTAAGAAATTTAAGGTAGATGTTTAATTATTGACTCTTCATTCTCAATCTTCTAAAAGTTACCCATTCTCAATGCACCATTCATAACCCAAGAATAGTCTAAGAAGCATACATCCTTGGGGCTTGCTATAAGCATCAGACACATGTTGGACATGGTCAAGTGTGATACACACCAACATGTGTGGGACACACCCTAAATTTTTTTCCTAAAGACATGTTTAACACTTCTCCCACATGCATGCCCCTTCGATGGCCTGTCATCCAATGTGACTAATTACAGCAGTGGTACTGTAGCAAATTAAGAAGCAGAGGGAGCCGCCTATTTTCAACAGCAGGGGCAGTAGAAGAAGAAAAAGATATTAATGATTTTACAGGGAACAGGTGAGGGCTTTCTTCTTCTTTGATCAAGTTCTCCTTAAATCAGACCCTTTCAAAAGAATACCCTGTTCAACTTCTTCCTCAAGTTAATCTTTATATTGAACTCTCTTGTGAAGAAAACAAGTCCCTAAAATTATCAAGAATAAAACCCAGGCAGCTGCTGCATAACTAGGTTGGGGTTAAGCATGATGCAATTTGAGCTGCTTTACCACTTCTCTCTCTTGTCAACGTTTTCTTTTATCTTCTGGGCTCTTTAGGTATATAGCCCAAGTTAGGTGTTTTATGGGCTATCTTACATGGGACTGGGGCCCATCCATCTTCATTTGAATATCGACCAAGAATGACTACACAAAAAATATTTGAACCAAAACTTAAGAAAACGATATAAAAATGTTTCTTAAAGACTTGGGATATGACATATTTTAGCATTTTTAGATATAAATCCATGCATTTTAATTAAAAAAAAGCTATAAAAGGTTATATATTTTTTCCTCATGTCCGACAAGATGTGTGTCAGTATTGTGCCCCATCTTACTTTTAGCCTAAAGCACCAACTAATTAACTCTGAATTCCAATCTATAACCCAATAACCTTTCAACTCAATCTACAAAACAGTAAGTTATTCATTGTTTAGTTCCTCAAAACACCTTCACTTAAAAAATCCACTTCCATAAATCACATTGAAAGCCATTCATTTCATTGTAAACCTTGGGATCAGACTTTTTACCAATTGAAACACTGAAAAAAAGAATGAATTATTATCCAAAGCCCACCCAGGTCTTGTTTTATCTAAGAGTTATGCCTAAGGGATCTATCCTACATTGTTGGATCTCTATGAAATCAAGCATATGGAAGAGGCAAGTAACAAGAACGCCACCCTCAAGAAAGCTATACAAATTAGTAGAATTAAAACAAAAAGAATACAAATAAAAACCACTTATTTTTCACCACTATTATGATTCAAACCAAAAGCATATGATCAAATGTCAAATACCTAGTACTTTCAGATATCTAATTCATATACTAGTGATGCAATTTAACTAGCCATTGAGTTAAAAATTGCTAAATCAATGTCTTTCTTTTCCAACACTTGAAAAATGAGTAGATAATATGCCAATGTCTTGAAAATGGTGACATACAATGTTTGATACACTTTATGGCAAAGGATAATCCGATTGACAAAAAGCTACCTTCCAAAATTGGTACGTGTCATGCATTTTTTCCAGATCTATATATCATAAAAGCACTGGATTTCATTTGCGCCTCAAATAAGTTAGCACAGCAAATTACATTTATTGATGCTTATGCATTGCAAAGCCCTTACCTGTGGATTCATCCTCATATCCAGAGGTCCATCACAAAGTACACTGAATCCTCTTTCAGCATTATTTACCTATTGCAGAGAAAGAGGAAGCATCTGTCAAAGTAATTTTTGCTACCTTGAAGAAAAAATAAACTTCATATGAGAGCATAAAGAAAGGTTATAATTTTTAGAACAAGTTACAGAACTATATTGATAAAGACACAGGACTTTGAAAGCCATGACCCTCCCCTTATATGTATGTGTATATAGAGGATTCATATAATAATACGACCATATGTAATCAGCAATATCTACTTTTCCCCCATCCTTAAGAAGAAGAGAAATAGGAGACTGAAAGTTGAAAGAGAAGGAACAAGTTCATTCTCTTGTCATCTCAAGAAGCCAATGCTAGAAAGATCCAATATCCTATTATTTTACAAGAATTGGCAGGAGTTTTGAAACTAAACCTGCATGGAGGACATTCCCAGGTCCATCAAGATCCCGTCAACCCCATAGATCAATAGTTTCTCATCGACTTCTGGCAATACAAACTCAATATCTCTGAAGTTCTTCAAGAAGACATGAGCTTTCAAACCTGAAGATGAATCACAAGGATCACCACGCACTACAGCATTGATTCGAGATTGAGCCTGCTCATGTGCAATGGGATCAACATCTAGCCCAATATACAGCTGCATTTCTGGATGGGCCTGAATTATCTGTTAATGAGAAAAAGAATCAAAGCAAAGTAAGTAACTAAAAGATGACTGTATACTATTACCCGTTCAAACTAGATACCAAATGTAAACAAAAAGCAGAAAAGAAAGAATATATTACCAACACTAGAAGTGCAGCATTTTATCCACACTAGTAGATGCACCTAATTCATTTGGCTAAAAGGCTAGGATACTGGATTATAATGTAAATAATGATGCAAGCACAAAAGGGAACATGCAATGAAATTTCAAAGCAATATGCATTTAGCATAGTTACACATGGCAAAAGAGCCATTTCTGGATGATAAAAGTGATGAAAACAAATACCACAATAAACACAAATTTCATGATGCCACAATTGAGGCAGCAATATTTTGAGATTAAGGGCAAAAATTCAGTATATTTACTGTTTAGGTAACATGTAAACTCCATTTCAAATGATATGCCCGACTCTGTCTTATTGTCCTTATTCCACACTTCAACAGACATGTTACATTCAAAACCCTTCCCTATCTTTGAACCTCATGGCTCAGCAACACCCTTTTTGTTGCTGTATCACGTGTCAGTTGTGGTACCATAATGTCTGAGCCCCTGCTTCTAGATTATTTTCAAGACTAAAATATAACATATATATTGACATTATCGTGATACATTTTTGCTACTGATTTCTGTAATTGTACCACTACAGATTAAATCCAATATGTAACAATTATATTACTTCAAGTCCTACATACCCTTTACGTACTTGTATCCATTGGTACAACAAGAGTCACGATGATGCATGCGTCTAATGCTTGTGTCCAAATTGCATATTAGGATCTTTAAAATTTTTGTGATGCTTCAGGAAAAACAAGCTTAACAGCTCTGGTTGAACTGGAAAAAAGGAATTCAACCCACACAAGTGAAAAATAAAAATAACCATTTTTATGGTAAATCCCATTTATTCAAGTATCTTCCTAACACATAGAGACAAATTGTATTAGAATATGACAAAAGTGATATGCTGTGATTCCAAACAACCACCATTCCAGACTGATCATTAGTTTTAACCTCGTGTTTCAGTTCTTTCCCCCACTCCTAGGCTAGAACAAGGTGACTATTCTCATCATCAATCAGATAACACCTCTGTCTACCACTATATGTGGGTGTCAGTTCGCATGCACACATGTGCCAGATAACACAAATGCATGTGCAACTGTGTCCATTTAGATTGCATTTGTGAGTGTGGTGCATCTTAATTATTCTTATCATGTGTGTATTGAATCTGATTGTGCATCATGTATATCATGGGATCATTCTCTCTCCCTCAACTCTCACAACAAGATCTATGATAATCAACCCCCGTTAAAACAACTTATCATTGAACTGCATGAAATACCAGCAGAGACTATTAACATCTAGCTAGCAACAATAATTTTTTCAATTTTGAAGGACTAGCATGGGTCTACTATGGTGATGTTATGCTACTAGTCCATTGCAAATGCCCAGAATGGGTCTCGCATAAAAAATCTATCAGTAGCGAGTTGGATTTTCCTACACATTGAAGTCATCCAATGACCCGGGACATGGGTAAGATAACGTTCAAATTTCTTCATATAAATCTCCATTTTCATATTCCTGAGTAAAAATGGTATTTTTCAAATGTCAAGCTTTATCAATATGGATTAAATTAAACAAGAATTAATAGACATGCCTTTTTTTGGTGAAATTTCAACCAGAATTTTCACTACCCATCCCTCTTGTTACTCATTTAGCATGGTCCTTAGTAACACTAAAGTCACATCATAAAAAAAATATATAAACTTACTTTAGCAAGCAGAAAATCTCACCGAACTTGCATTACTAAAACGAATTAATTCATCATTCAAAACAGCTCAGTTTCCTCCACAGATCCAAACCTTGTTCATCTATATACCCACAAAAATTAAAAAGGAATGCTCAAATGGAATAAAAATCAACCAAATTGTCAACTTTTTTTTCAAAAATAAAAATAAAAAAGAGATCCAGTATTCTGAACTTCCACCACCACAGAACCATGTCGAGGTTCAGTTAAACAGCGTCTTTCACGCATAGGCGCACCATTCTAAAAGTCGAATGAAAATTCATTTTATAGATAAAAAAAAAGAAAATTAAAACGCAAAATTAACGAGTAGCAGATAAGTATTACTGACTGCAGAGGAGTGACCGGCGGCCCCAAGCGTACAGTCGATGAAGGAGCGAATCGGCAACGAAGCGAAGACCTCCAAGACTTCACCAAGCATAACCGGGATATGGGCGGCACCGCTGTCTCCGTGCCGTAAAAAGGACTCCTCATCGAACTCCCTATCTGAGCGCGTCGCTTCTTAACCGCCACTTCTGCAGCCGACGCCGCGGCCCTGTTCTTCTGTTTGACCTTCTTCTTTTTGCTTCTACCAGAAGTGCATGTAGTAAGAGCACTAGCAGCTACAGTAGTCGATATATGGGAAACGCATAGTGTAGAGGGGATGTAAGAGAAGATGGGCAGTGACTTCGGTACTATAGCAAGTGGAGACTGTGATAGGAGCTTCTTAGCTACAGCTACTGCCATTGCCACTGGGTGATTGCTCAAAGCCTTTCGCAAAACTCAAGTATATGTATTTCTCATACACTACATTTTCTGCGTCTGGGATCGAAGAGATGCAGTGGCTTGCTCGCAAACTCTAGATAAAAGCCGCTCAGAGCCTGGACCAAAACCTAAAGGCGTGTTGCGGTCCATGAACGGGAAACCGGGCCGGCGAAAGAACCGGTAGCTTTTTTCATTGGTTTGATCGGTTCGATCGCTTCAATTATTGGTTAAATTGAAACGGCATCATAATTATATTTAATATTATATAAATATATTTATATAATATAAATAATATAAAAAATAGAAAATTTTGAAAATATAAGGAAAAAAATAAAAAATACCTAATATTTATGAATATTTTTTTCTAAATTTTTATCTTACAATTATATAAAAAGTCAAATTTAAAAGACTTTAACTAAGTTCTAAAATAGAACTAACCAATTACAAATGATAGCAATTTAAAATAGTATCAAATTTCTCAAAACTTAAACAAAAAATATTAAAAATAAAATATTATTATAACTCTTCAATCATTCAATTCATTATTGTCAAACTAAGTGAAATTCATGAAATTCAAAGTTATCATTAATGAATCTAAAACTAGTGCACATGTTACCAAAATTTGATAAAGCAAATAACACCATTGTTCAACATCATGAAATCATCCTCATTGCCTACAATTATAGCTTTTGAACGACTCCCTTTAAACCCTAAACAGAAAGGTTAAGTTTTAAACAAAAATAAATATAATGAACTATGTAAATAAACTAAAAATATATTAATTGTTCGGTTGCTTAGTTTACAAGTTGTTATTAACAATTTTCTTCCTCAAGCATTTCTTTTAATATATATTAATCAAGCTCTCCATTCGGCACTTCTTTTAGTACCTAAAATTCTATTTTTGTCAATGTACTCGTAAACAAATGGATCATATGACTTTTTCTTTGCATTAAGACTACAAAATATATGAAGAAAATAAAATTAAAATATACCATGATGAGAGATAAATCAATTAAAAAAGATAGAATTAAAGTGAGACTACAAATTATAATGAAACAAAAAAAATATATAAATTTTATATCAATGTTTCAAACTAATTTATAGTGACAAAGACAAAACCATTAAGTGTAGTATGTATCAATTTATTCCCATTTTTTTTGTATGGATGTACTCAAATACACTCCAATTATCCTCACAATTAGAGAAAGATGAAATTTGACTCAAAAACTTAATAGCAAGTTTATATAGATTTGGTGTATCAAAACCAAACACCCTCCACCATTCATCTGCAAAGATTAAAATATTGAAGTTAGAATAATTATTATAAACTAATTAAATAATGAATTTTAAATTACTTAACTAATTAAATAACATTTACTAGGATGAGTACTTTTGGAATTTTTCAAAACCAATACCATTCTAAAACCCTTTTAACGCTCTCTAAAATACTAATTTTCTTTATTCATTATCCACACTTAGAAGATGAATTTCAGTGACATCAAGAAGTCCTTTCATCACCTCAGAACTTTGGATAAGACTTTCTAAATCATATAAGAAAGCAAAATTTAACTAAAAAGTGACTACATGAAGATCCTTGTGTAACATTGTTTCATCTTGTATTGATTTTATCAATATATTCTTTGTAATATGTCTCTTTGTTACAAAACAAATTATTTATTCTTAAATATGGTGGAGTCTTGCTTATCAGAGGTTGCACTAATGTGAAAATATCTTGAATTTTAGTTACTATCTTTTCTTCATCTAATGAGGTTTTTCAGATGTGAAGCCTATTTGTGGTTGAAAATGTGTTATATGTAATATTTTAATTAATACAGGTAGTAGGGTTTTAGTTTTCTACTTGAATTTGATTTTATTGTGCTTGCAGGGTGCAGGTGCTTGAACTTGCAAGGAATATTGCAAAGCGCAATAAGAAGAATATGATAGTTTCAAGGCATATACAGCTTGCAATGAGGAAAGATGAAGAGTTGAGTAAGCTTTTGGGGGGTAGTTAGTGAAAAATATGGTTTTCTTATTAGCAATGGATCAAGTTTAAAATTGGTTTAGTTGATATGAATAGTTAGGTTGAGGGTCTTAAATCTCCCTTTTCGGCCCTATATCGTTGTCAATGAATGGGAGCTACTAGATTAATGAAATGGCTTGGCAACCCATGTTCATGTAACAGTAATAAAAATAAGAATGCATGGTATTGGTTTACATTATTAGAATTGATAAGCAAAAAGCACTTTGATTTAGGGTTTCCATATTCTCACTGGGCTCTGCTTGTGTCATTCACGTGAATGTTAGCTTTGCTTTTTTTGGATATATTTAGAGAGTGTTTACAAAAACTTTTTCTTAAGTGATCCTCTACTTTTCAATGATTGAGAAGTGCTTTGAAATGTTTGAAAACTAGTTTTTGGCTTCTAATTTTCTAAAAAAAAATGTTTCAAACAGTGCACAATCTAAAGTTGAGAAATTGAAACTTTTAACTTTTGATGGCAATGTTATAAATAAAGATAAGCTTATTCAAAGATTGATTTACCATTTTTGTCTTCAAAATTTTGTCAATATTCCAAAATATCCTAGCCAATTGCGACTAGGGATGAAGCTAGCCTCGTGCGAACCAATTAATCTACAACTAGGGACCAAGCTTGCCAGAGTAGTTGATCTGTGACTAGGGACGAAGCTCATGTGGGGTGATCATTGCTGCGTGCAGTGACACAAAACACCACCCGCAACGATGAGGCATGTCATTGCATGTAGTGGCGATGGTGCCACTACGTGTGACCTTAGTTGGCTAATTTTGGGCAATTGATCTCAAAATTTCTAGGGTGAACAAAAATGAAGATTAACCAATCTCGATCTTGGGGTTGGGGGAGAAGATTAGTCTACATAAAAAAAGGGAAAGTGTGTGTGTGAGAGAGAGAGAGATAAGAAAAAAATAAGAGAGAGAGATATGAGAAAAAAATAAAAATATAATAAGGTAATGGTAAAAAAGTAGAATAAAAATTATAAATATGAGATAAAATAGTCATTTTTGCTTTAAAAGTTTTTCCATAATCATTTTACAAAATTATTTCCCAAACACTACTAGACTGATTTGGAAAGTTTTTTGTATACATTTTACAAGCACCCCGATTACTAATTAAAATATAACTTTAATTACTTTTACTTAAAACACTCACTTTTAATTTTTCATAAGCATTTGTAAAATACCCCCTTATTTGCGATCAAGATTCCAAAAATAAGAAAAGATTTTGGGCTTTCCATGATCCCATTAGACTCCTGATGTGCTTTATCAGTTTTATTTTTGTTGCAGCTTCAACGTTTTAAGCGAGTTAATTAGCTTGTTTTTTGACCTTTTAACTTAATTCTTGGTTCACATTTTATCTTTTGTTTTTTAAACCATCAAATCAATTCTCACATCTCAAACTTAAAATTTAGCATAAATAGTATAATACTTAAAAGGTTTGTTTAAAGTTTGTAAGTTTTGGCTTTTGACCTTTCTGTTATTCTTAACTTAAATTTAGACTTTCAATTTTAATGCAAAAATAGGAGAATTTTTTTACGTTTTTCACTTACCTATTACATATTCGCTTACTATTTGAACTAATTAATTATACTTTATATTAATTATTTTTACCATTTTTATATATAAAATTTAAATAAATCAAAATTAATTAGGTAAATAAATATATTCAAAGTGAGTGTTTATGTATAGTAATGAATTGGGTGAAAAATCAATTTTTATTTTCAATTGAATGGTGGGCCAATTTAACAATTTCAAACCCCTATTAGAGATAAAAAACCCCATAAATGAACTTCAAGCTCAAAAGTAAAATTTCCACAAAAGAGATGTAATATATTAAAGTACAAAAATAATTTTTATTTTCAATGGAAACGTTGGACTAATTTAAAAACTTCAACCCCATAATGAAGGTAAAAGCCCCGTAATGAAGGTAGAAGCCCACAAAACATTTTTAAGCCTAAAATAATGGTAAAAATTGCACAATAGCTTATTTTAATAATATTTATATGATAGTATAAAAAAATTGTCAAAACCAACTATTAGGAAAAAATATAATAATTGGTGCACTTGATAAGCCAAAACAGGGAATGTTTATTTTTTAACTTTTTTTTTTACTTAACAACAAATGTTTATTGAAAGGACCAGCACTCGAATCAGCAAATGTTTATTCCATGAGCTTAGTTTGAAGGATAATTTATAATTAATATTGTACATAAATTAATTTTTACCAAATAATTATTATAAATAAATGATTAATTTTGCGGGATACATAGGTCAATTCAATCTTGACTGCAGGCCAAATTAAAAAAAAATTATAATATAAAATTTTTACTTTTGGACAAATTAATTAGATGAGAAGTGAGAATCGATATGGATAAGGAGATGGTCACCTTCTACAGTCTCCCCCACTACTTATAACATTCTGTAAGATTATATAACATTTTCAATTTTAGATGATCACCTTCTATTGTCCCTGAACTACGTAGAGTCTTTAATAAGATAATTCAATCTCTTCACCATTAGATTATAGTAATAGCTAGAAATTTCAACTGGGTTCAAGTTTAAGTTGTGATTATTCTGTATAATTCACTTAAAAATCTGTATAATTTTAAAATTTCATAATTCTTATAATAAAAAAATGTCAATGTGTAATTTCAAAATACCACAATAAGCCTTTTTTGAGATTTATGGAGATTTTGAAATGGATACTGTCATCTCTTCCTAAACTTTTTTTACTAGAAAAAAGAAATTGTAATTAGGAATTTACGATATTTTATTCAAGTGGTTCTCATTTTTAATAACATTTGCTATTAAGTAAAAAAAAGAAAAAAAAAAGAATTCCTTGTTTTGGCTAATCAAAAGCACCCATTATTACATTTTTGCTTTAATAATTGGATATAAAATATTTTTAGGTAATATCAAAAAATATTATTAAAATTATATATTATGGCCTTTCATCTTTATTCTAGACTTTGCAGGCTTTTACCTTTTATTCAGAGTTGAAGTTGTTAAATTGGCCCAACAAATAAATTGTAAATAAAAGTTAATCTTGGACTTTAATATTGCGGGAATCTTTTGTAGCCTTTTATGTATAACAATTATTTGGATAAAAAATTAATTTATGTACAATGTTAATTATAAATTATCCTTCAAACTAAGCCCTCATTGACACTTGAGAATTTTGAATGGTATAATCTCACATCTCTATAAACTGCTTTTACTAGAAAAAAAAAAAAGTACTTTGTTTGAGTGCTAATCATTTTTAATAAACATATGCCGTTAAGTAAAAAAATAGTTTAAAAAATAAACATTCCCTGTTATTGCTTTTCTGGTGCACCAATTATTATATTTTTTTTCCTAATAATTAGTTATAACAAAATGGTTTTTTGGGTATTGTCAAATAAATATCATTAAAATAATATGTTGTAACTTTTACCTTTATTTTGGATTTAAAATTGTTTCTGGGCTTTTATCTTTATTCTGGGGTTAAAGTGTGTAAGGCTCAACATTCAATTGAAAATAAAATATATTTTTGGGCCTCAACGTGGTGGGTGTCTTTTGTGAAAGTTTTACCTTCGTTCCAAGCTTGAAGTTGTTTTGTTGGGTTTAATCACTAAT